GTGTGTGTGTGTGAATGTGTGTGTGTGTGTTTGTTTGAATGAGTGTGTGTGTGTGTGTGTGTGTGTTTGTTTGAATGAGTGTGTGTGTTTGAATGCAAGAGTATGTGTGTGTGTTTGAGAGAAAGTGTGTGTGTGTGTGTGTGTGTTTGAGAGAAAGTGTGTGTGTGTGTGTGTGTGTTTGAATGCGAGAGTGTGTGTGTGTGTGTGTGTGTGTGTTTGAATGCGAGAGTGTGTTTGTGTGTGTGTGTAAGGACTGTTGAAGTTCCTCTAGTGTCTCCAGCCGTTTAGTTTCCCATAATGCATCCGTTTCTGTGTTTGTAGCACTTCTGCAGGTTCCTCTGGTCTTTTATAAAGGGAGACTCACCGGCACAAACGTCCTGTGTTCCCCAGCATCCATCAGGACGTGTCAGGTGTTGTTTGTTGCTCTTGTTCAGCTGGTGTGGTTGTGTTTGTCCTGATTGTGTTGGTTTGTGTCACACGCTGCCTTCAGAGCGTCCTCCATGTTCACGACAGCAGCTTCGATTCAATCACGGATGTGTGTCAGAAACAGCTTTTCCAAATCTCTCCGCGTCCCAAACCTCCCTTTAATGGCCTGATCTGCAAGGGCTTCTGGGTAACGCCATGTTTTTAGTTCCTTTATGATTCTGCTCACACCAGCGTTTCCGTTTTCTTAACTGCACTTTACAGGACCGGTTCTGTGTGTGTGTGTGTGTGTGTGTGTGTCTGTGTGTCTGTGTGTCAGTGAGTGAGTGTGTGTGTGTCTGTGTGTCAGTGTGTCAGTGAGTGAGTGTGTGAGTCTGTGTGTGTGTCTGTGTGTCTGTGTGTCTGTGTGTCTGTGTGTCTGTGTGTCTGTGTGTCTGTGTGTCAGTGAGTGAGTGAGTGAGTGAGTGAGTGAGTGAGTGTGTGTGTGTGTGAGTGAGTGAGTGAGTGAGTGAGTGAGTGAGTGTGTGTGTGTGTGTGTGTTGCATTCATTTATATGTCATGACATGCACAGAAATACTTTTTCCTCATTAGATTCAGATCATTTAAACCTATTTTAAATCATGAAGTCTTTTTTTTTTCATGTTTTTGTGGATACTTTTTTTCTGAATACTTTGATGAATATAAATTTAAAAAAATATTTGAAATATACAAAAATTGTAACATTATAAATGTTTTTACTGTCATTTTTGGTCAATTTAATGCATCCTAAATTAATTTTAAATCTTACTCCAAACTTTTGAACAGTAATGTATCACAGTTTTTAAAAAAAAAAGAAAGAAAGAAAGAGAAAGAAAAAGAAAGAAAGAAAATCACAACTCTTTTCAACATTGATGATAATAAGATTATTATTAATATTTCTTGGGCACCAAATCAGCATATTGGAATGTCTTTTCTGAAGGATCATGTGACACTGAAGACTGGAGTAATGACTGCTGAAAATTCAGCTTTGCATCACAGGAATAAATGACATTATTAGATATATTCAGTATATTCAATAAATATAGCCTTGGTGAGCATTAACGACTTCCTTCAAAAACATTCAAAATTTTAATTATTCTAAACTTTTGTCTCGCTCTATCTCTTTGTGTGTGTGTGTGTGTGTTTGTGTGTGTCTGTCTGTCTGAGAGTGTGTGTGTGTGTGAGTGTGTGTGTGTGTGTGTGTCTGTGTGTCAGTGAGTGAGTGAGTGAGTGTGTGTGTGTGTGTGAGAGGATCAGTGTACAGGAAGCAGCCGGTCACCGGCAGTAAGAATCATCAGTGGAACATTTGTCGGCTCAGTTTGACCTCTGACCCTGTGTGTGTGAGGGGTCACTGGTGCGGTTGCTGGAATTGTGGGGAAACGTCTAAAGCACTTTGAAAGAGTGAGCAGGATTCATTCACTACAGAATCACTTTAAATGTTTCATTTTCATGACAGGAGTTTGTTTTTGGTCATTATTGGTGTGCTATATTGATTCCCATGGTGCTTTGCGAGGATGGGTTCAAAGGTGACCAACATTTGGTTTCTCATCAGTCATGACAGTTCCACTAACTCTCGCTTTTGTTCACTCACTCACTCACTCACACACACACTCTCTCACTCACTCACACACACACACTCACACTCTCTCTCACTCACTCACTCACACACACACACACACACACACAAACTGCTGATTGTTCATTAATTAGAAAACATTGCAGTCTAAAGTTTTTTTGAAAGAAGTCTCTTCTGCTCAGCAAGGCTGCATTTTTATTTTAAAAAAATACAGTAAAAATAGTTAAACCAGCTGTTTTCTGTGTGAATCTGTGTTAAAGTGTAATGTATTTCTGTGATGAGCAGCTGTATTTTCAGCATCATTCCTCCAG